CCCCCCTTCAGCATTACCTCATCATCAACCTGACGCTCCGTCATTACTTACAACATCATCACCAACAACACAAAGCCACAACCTTCATTCGTCCATCTATCTTTGATCATCATCGTCGTTAAAAACAGCGACAGCATGGTATGTACTATCAAAATAACCGATACTTAAGAACTAGCTCGTTTTAGTTTTAGAAAGAGTTTTACGGCACTTGCCACACAATTAGGTCATATAAGTGCCGAAGATTAGAGGTGTTGCAAGAGAGTAACAAACACAAAGAAGAAGGAGGGGAGATAAAGATGAACTAGACGTCCAGGTGGAACCACGAGGTGACAGTGATTTCTAACTGAACCGTGCACCGTCAATCAACTGAACTCACCTTTCTGGATCCATCGGGAAGGAAAAGAGCGCCAAATCAGGACAGCTGATTTTGGAATTGGTACTGTCTATAGCACTAAACCACTTGGAAGTCCGGAATCTTGTCAATGTTTCATCCAAATCTTGACTAGGATGTTCTGACTCCATCTTTCATGTATGGATGTGGGTATGACACGACGGTGAAGAAAGAGAAATGTTGTTTAAAACCCATTCAGACCAACCCCCTTGTTAAAGTTTCTGTGAAAACAACACGGTGATTCATCGGTTGTGAGGAACAGAATGTTATTGTTGGGCATGCAACAGTCCCGGGACTGGCCCCGATCCCGTGGGACTCGAGAACCGCGTGTCTCTGCCACTCCGAGCCTGCAAGTGGCTCATTTGGAGACAGCAACGTCTACACGTGCTCCACGTGAGTCTCGAAAAATACTCACCCCGTCTCTTGAATCGTGTTTCTCAGGCGAACGTATAAAGTGTAGTGGTGAGGGACATATGCCAACTTTTCAATATTTCAGGTGTACGCTGTAAATCTTCTGTTAGGGTTTTTGACCCACTTCAGGCTTGCATCAAAGAAAACGGGTGGGAATCTCAGTCTGCAGAGACTTTTATGAAAGGGCTTTTAGATTCTGTTGGTCGCTTCACTTTTGGACCCGCATGCAAAGACCCAGAAAATGTAACAGCGATTTGTTTTTCTCCCGTTTTGAGCGCGGTCAGACGACATTGAGCCTTGTGGGAAAAGGGAAGGAATCTTCTACAGAATCCAACGGTCATTCCATTTGATTTACTTTTGTTCCCACTTTGTCATTAGTACTTAGTACCATTGTGAAAGACGTTTCTGATCATGGCTTGACTTTGGCGTGTGTAGGTGTGGCCTATGACCGACTACCCCGTGAAGGAAGTGAACGACAACTCGCAGCGGCTGCTCAAAAAACACGGCACAGATTACAAGGACGAGAGGGTTCTGCAACAGGTACCAATGGATAAATGGGGGG